TCCCCGGCGGAAGCCCGAGGGGGTCTCGGTGTCCTCAAGCGGCAGCTGAGGCCAACCTCTGCGCGCAGGACCGCGAAGCCGGGCAGCCGCGTCGGCTCCTGCGGGGTGTTGTCTTTCGTTAGTTACTCCCGAGCTTTCCCGCTTCCCAGCCCCGTGAATACCGCCTGCACTTCTCAGAAGAGCAGCCTGCCGGTGGCTCCGGCACGCGCTGCAGTCCTGCGTTTGCGCCGCTAGGGGGAGAGCCCCTCGGGTTTGGGCCCGAGCGAAGCTTGGCCGCGTTTGCAGCCCTCGAGGGAAACTGCCCAGTCCTGAGGGCCAGGCGAAAAGCCTCCAGCTTATGATGCCGGGAACGGACCGCCTGGGTTTCTACCCCCCTTCCCCCGCTTCTCAATTCTGGTTGGTCATAACTTGAAATGTATTTGTGGCTGGCTTAGAGCATCAGCCCCAGATGTGGCCGGGAGGGAGGGGACCTTTGCAGTAGGGAGCAGGTGGCAGGTGCTGTGTGTTAATGAAAAGCAGTGGGCAGGACAGGCCCCCGGAGACCTGGGTCCTGGCGTCAGCCTCACCTGTAATTGGCCGTGTAACACGTGCCAAGTCACTCCCCCTCTTCGGGACAGATTTCTCAGTATTAATAAGTTATATTTGCACGTGAGCCTTGGCTATCCAGATGCCTGGGGAAATGGATCTTTTACCACACCGTGTTTCCATATTAAGCACAATGCCTTCAGAAGCGTGGGGGGTGGGGGAGGGCAGAGGCTGAAGCATTCCTGGGATCTTGTTTTAGCTTTAAAATTCATATGAGTTTTGCATTTTACTCCATAAAGGATTTTTCAGATTTTTTCTTTAATAAAGAAAATAATAGATTCTCCCTTCCTGAAAAGATCTTGTAGTAAAATTGAAATACTTACCAGGGAGATGTATCATGCTTGTCCTATGACATTACATACCTTTTTTCTTTTTCAGTAAATATTTATTCTGCATGTGTTCCAGACCTGGCCGTCATCCTCCCAGAACTCACAGCCCCCGGAGCAAACAGGTATCAAACAATCAGACTAACAAATGCAACTGGGATCAACTCTCAAATGCCAAGGGGCTGAGGGTTCACAGGGAAACCTAATCTAGACTCCAGGATTCAGTAAAGCTTCCCAAGGAAATGACCTTTGGGATTGCCCAGGAGAGGCGGCCATGAAACACTTCCAAGGTAGAGAGAAGATATTGTGCAACAGCAGTCTACGCAGGTAGGGTAGAAGTGAGAGGGAATGTGAGACCGGCCAGAGAGGCAGGCGGCAGAAGCCAGAACTTGCCGGACCTTGTGGGCCATTTTACATAAGGATTTTATCTCATCAACCATGGAAGGTCTCTGAAAGGCTGTAAGGGTTGGGGGCGGGTGATCATGATCTCATGTCATTTCCTATGTGAACAACTGATTCATGGAGGGTCAGGGTCCAGGCGAGAGAAACTTTGACCCCTTGACACATCCTTGCCCATGCTATTTGGTGAGTGTTTCTAGGGTTTTCAGTTTCTACACCACACTGCTTTTGGGAGTCCTTTCAGAGTGCCTCTCTGTAACAGCCCCTGTTTTGTTAACTTTTAATCTGCTGTGGTTTTAGAAAGGGAGTTAGCTAACCTTATTAGAATTTCAGGTTAAGTAAGGGGATATAGGTTCTGAGTGAGGAGCTCTTTTCTTTTTAAATTTTTTTTTCAACGTTTATTTATTTTTTGGGACAGAGAGAGACAGAGCATGAACGGGGGAGGGGCAGAGAGAGAGGGAGACACAGAATCGGAAACAGGCTCCAGGCTCTGAGCCATCAGCCCAGAGCCCGACGCGGGGCTCGAACTCACGGACCGCGAGATCGTGACCTGGCTGAAGTCGGACGCTCAACCGACTGCGCCACCCAGGCGCCCCGAGGAGCTCTTTTCTATGCATACCCTTGGTGCTATTTGGTTTGTTATCTCAGAGATCTTTCTACTTATTTTCTCCTTTTCATTGTGTTCCCAGTGAGGCAAAGCTCCTTGATGCATGAGTGAGAGATACATTTTGCTTTAATAACACCATCCTCTCAAATCTTGCATCACAGATTTTTGTGCAAAGTAAAGAAAGTGCGTAAATTACCCTGCAGAGCTTTAAGTGCTATATGAATGAAAGTAATACTGGTTATAATGGCAGCTTAGAGACCTTCATAACTAATTAGTTGCCAAATATTAATATCTGGAAAACTCCTTCCTCCTGCCCCATCCTCCCATGAAAAACACAAATATGCCTATTCCTTACGGACAGTGCAAATCCTCATCTCAAGTGCTCATGTTACTCTTTGTGTCTTGGCTGGCAGACAGCTCAAAGCCAAGTTTGCAGGTCATTGCAGGAAATGAGCGGATCCACAGGGCAGTCATATCTATGTCTTAGCTCTTCCTTTGGTCTTGTTCTTCTATCTCAAGTTTTCCTGTATTCTCCTAACATGTTATACATATTTTTAGAAGGCACTTAAAATATTTGTTTCCACCTACTTTTAATGAGGGTCAGAACTGCTACTCAGTGTTTCAGAAGGCAGTATATAAAACATTGGCAACCTGCCAGCCATTGTAGCTGGTAACTATACTATAGCCAAGGGACTGGGTTTTAAATTTTTTAATGTTTATTTATTTATTATTATTATTATTTTTTTTTTTTTTTGAGAGAGAGCAAGGGATGGGCAGAGAGAGAGGGAGACAGACTCTCAAGCAGGCTCTGTGCAATCAGACAGAGCCGTATACGGGGCTCGAACCCACGAACTGTGAGATCATGACCTGCGCTGAAACCAAGAGGGATGCTTAATGGACTGAGCCACCCAGGCGCCCCAGACTGGGTTTTATTTTTTTTTTTTTCAACGTTTATTTATTTTTGGGACAGAGAGAGACAGAGCATGAACGGGGGAGGGGCAGAGAGAGAGGGAGACACAGAATCGGAAACAGGCTACCAGGCTTGAAAGCCATCAGCCCAGACGCTGCCGCTCAACTCACGACCGCTGCAGATCGTGACCTGGCTGAAGTCGGACGCTTAACCGACTGCGCCACCCAGGCGCCCCCAGACTGGGTTTTAAATTAAAGCTTGCCCAGCACTGCATGTGGATCAGAAGTCTCTGCCTATACTAGCTTAGAGCCTTGTATTAGACAAATTTGTCTCCCACTGGCTCATAGATAATTTCCTTTAGTGTGATCTCCGAGCTCCCAAGCTCCATCAGCCTGCCCTGTACATAACAAGCACTGTTTGTCACTTGAAAAGAGGGCAGGGATCCATGAACTTTTACTCATTTAGGTTTCTTTTTGTCAGCAGTGACCTGAAGATTCCAGGATTCACTCGATCCATTCAGACTTCACAACAGTGTGACCACGTCTTTCAGCCTTTGATATGACTCTGGACAGCCAAAAGTAGACATGTCTCTTCTGGTAGCAGTAGACACTCTTCCTTGATTTCAAGTTCCTTACTGACTCCCTTCTTTCTCTCTCAGTCCCTGAGCTCCTCAGTCTGAGGACCAGAAGGGTATGTGTAGAACAGACATTCAACACCCTTGGGGTAAAGAGGGTTGTTGTTGATGATTTTAGTTCTGCTAACATTTGGTAATTCAGAAACCTTTCTAGTCCACAGAATAGTGCTTTTGTCACAGAATTTTAAACGAATGAACTAAGTTATGAACTAAATTACAATTCTGAAACGTAGATGTCCTAAACTTTAATACATTTGCTTTTTATATGCTGATTCTTATCTCACCAACCTTTTCTCTGGACGTAAATTCTGTCATGGCTTCAGATAGGTGCCCTTCCTTTCCTTTCTGTTTGCCAAACAGGTCAGGCCCCCTCTTTATTTTTCTTGAATCACATTCACTGTGACCTTGAATGATTTGAACGAGAATTTTGTGCTATGGCTATGTTTATGTGATACATTGGGAGACACTCTGGTGCCACAAATAGTAATTCTGCCTCGGAAGTTTCCGAATGATCTTTCTGAGTGAAGAGTGTAGTGTCATGGGAATGTATTTAAAAAAATTTTTTTTTGTTAAGTTTATTTATTTATTTATCTGACCAACAGTCAGACAGACACCCAACCAATGGAGCCACCCAGGCGCTCTAACATACTATCTTTTTTAAATGATTATATGCTTCTTCCTGAACCAACCTCCATGGCCAATAACGGCCGGGCTCCCACTCCTGAAGTTGGGTCAGTCCTCCTCAAACCACATGGCTGATGGAGGACAGAGCAAGACCTACATACCACAAAGAGCAGGAAATGGACAGAGGCAAACAAAGACATCAACTACTCTGTTCATTTCAGACTTATAATAGTGAAAGATGAAACACTTTAACCTAAATATACAGAATAAGGGAATAGTACATAAATTGATATATCTTTACAGTGTTAAATTATGCACCTGTTAAAGATACCACATCCACAGATTTATTTTATCTTATTTTTTATTAAAAAAATTTTTTTTTAATTTTTTTTTTCAACGTTTATTTACTTTTGGGACAGAGAGAGACAGAGCATGAACGGGGGAGGGGCAGAGAGAGAGGGAGACACAGAATCGGAAACAGGCTCCAGGCTCCGAGCCATCAGTCCAGAGCCTGACGCGGGGCTTGAACTCCCGGACCGCGAGATCGTGACCTGGCTGAAGTCAGACGCTTAACCGACTGCGCCACCCAGGCGCCCCATATTAAAATTTTTTTAATGTTTTATTTATTTTTGAGAGAGAGAGAGAGAAATGCGTGCAAGCGGGAGAGGGGCAGAGAGAGAGAGAGACACAGAATCTGAAGCAGGCTCCAGGCTCTGAGCTGTCAGCACAGAGTCTGATGTGCGGCTCGAACCCACGAACCATGAGATCATGACCCGAGCCAAAGTTGGTCTCTTAACCGACTGACTCACCCACGCACTCCAGACAGATTTTTTTTTTTAATAATGTGAGAAAAAGTTTAAGTTTTCATCTTAACTGAAAAACTCTGGATACAAAATTATGTTGTCAGTTAATTACAACTGTTAAAAAGTGGCACAGAAAATCAAGTACATCAAAATGTTAGTAATAGTCCACTGGACTAGTATGGTTATTTTCCTCTTTTGATGCTTTAGTAGTTTAAAAAATTTCTGTAATGTACAATGACCTGAACAATGTGAATAATATTATTTAAAATGTGGCTGTAAAATTAACGTTGCCACCAAATGCCATAAAAATAACTATTGCCTCTCTTTGCATTTCAAAAGCATTTTTTTCCAGATTTGACGTATCCTTCCAAGTTTATTTGAGATACCACATACTTCGGGAAAACATTTTCAGGCTATGTTGCTCTCATTGGTGTACCTTATTATCTGAAAATGTGTTTTTAGCATTAACAGCCTATAGCCTCTCTGCAATGTCAGGATATAAATAGACAAAAATTGATAAAATTGTTTGCTCGTTCTGTTTGACATCTGTTTCCCAACTTATTTCAGTAGAAAAATACCCGAATATTATGGTCATCAGGTATGAGCACCATAAAATATTGATATATTTAATTCATCCCAGAAACTGGGAACACTTTTACTAGAAGAAAATATCTATAAAAAATACAATATTACAACTAGGAGTATATTTCCTTAAAAATAAGAAACTATGAGATTAAGTCCTCGGCAATTTCAGAATTCTTTTTCTCTTCGTATGTGTTTGCTACAGATTTATATTTCTTTGCCATCTTATTAATAGCTACGTGGTAGTAACACCAAAGTTTAAGTAAGATGGATAGGATAAAAATACAAAATTGATATAATTCTAATAACCATTTTTTTTCTCTTACCAATTCATAAACCAAGAAATAGGCTACCATTATTCATTTTTGGCAGGAGATACCTCACTTCTGTTTCTAGAATAGCACTGACCTGTGGAAACATGATTTAAAATCACTACTCTGTTCCTATTTTCTTATTGGTGTTTTGTTCAGGTATGTTGTATTACCTCCCCAACTAGTTCACGAGCCTTTCAAGATTAGTGATTAGATGTAAACGTCAGTTCTGTTATTACCTTTGCGTCCCCTCCA